AGTTCCTTTAGATGTTCGTCTGGGCTCTTGGAAATCTTTTTTCTCCATTTGTAGATAATGGCTTTCACAGTGGTTTGCTTAGTCCCAGAGCCTTAGAAATAGCTTTGTGTGCCTTTACAGTCTTATATATTTTAATAACTTTCCTATTCATCTCTTATGGAATTTCTTTTGATCATAACATAGTGTACTGCATGCTGAGACCTTTTAGTTCACATTGCTGGAAAGGTTCTATTTAACTGATGTTTAGATGTTTGGATATTTGTATTTCTTTCTGTAGTACATAACATGTTACAAAATATCCCCATGTGTCACAAAACACTGATGCTCAGGACACCAGTGTGAGGAGTTATTTAAAGATGCACAGTAAATTCTAATTCATAATCCAAAAATAGGCACAGAATCGACAAACTGGTAAAATGAATACTGTAATTAAGACATGCTGAAAAATCCATTTATGGTTTATGGGGCATGATTATGTAGATATTCTTTAATGTCTAGTGTAAATTAGGTAATATACTCCATCTTTTTGTACAGTAGCATTAATTTGTACAGTAGCATTATTAGTGTTTAAATAATAGTAGCAGATTTAATTTTTTTTATTTAATAATTTCCTCCAAAATAGAGTTTATACCAATTCCTGTCCTTATTGACACTGATCTGGAGAATCTTTGTAAGACCAGGCTTCTATGAACTCTGAAAATCAAACCGAAACAACAGTAAATATGACAGTCCCTATCAGAACCACCTATCACGGCTGTAGTGTACATAGCATTGTTAGTAGTAGCATTGCCATAGTAGTGTCAGAATGACAGGAATGACACCCCTGTCATTCTGACGCTACTGGAACTATTGAAACTGCCCACTGACACCTGGCGATCACCAAATGGACCATAAGCAGTCAATATAGCACTCAATAATACTAAAATGCATTATTACACTAAGTCTATTTTCACAATATAAAATAGAGCCCATCATATTCATTCAGAGAGATCAAAGGATACTATTTCAATGAACTCAAATGCATTCAGCTGCCAGTTTTTTAGGTAACATCTGCTTTATATCTACACTTACTGCTTGTATCAGGTAGTCTAAATCACTGGACGCACAGACTTCAATGCATGTCTGTTAGTTTTGTATCAGAAGCTTTAAAGGAGACATTCATGCAAGCTGCACTGTTCACGGGAAAGAGTTTGAGTTAAATGAATGAACAATGCAATACTGCAGTGAAATATTTGAACATTTGAGTTGCTAAAATATTGAATTCCACCAAGATTGATGAATAATATAGACAGGGCTTCCTGTGTAGTCTAATAACCTGGTTTTTAAATGCAGACTACCTGCTGAAAACTGCTGCCCTGCCTGCCATCAACCTCACTGATTGACCTGCCTAAAATAAACAAAAATAATGGTAAGACAAATCAATAATACTTGATAACAAAATGAGGAAACATATAAATGGCCAACTCTTGTTCTGAATACAGAAAAGCCATGTTGTCTAAACATGACACTTTGGCTATTCTCTAGTATAGTAATTTAAGCCTTTTAAGCCTTTAAAAGCTGATTGCCTATGTTTAGCAAGGACAATGTTACAAGGACATTAATCAATTTATTTACTTTAATAAGGCTGAAATGGAACAATTCCTACATATTAGATGAAAAATTCTTGTTCTTCCTTCCACAGTCCACATAACTGACATATTTACCAGTAACCTGGTTTTAAATGTAGACCACTTGTGGAAAGCTGCTGTCTTGCCTCACTAACATCAACCTTAATGCTTGAACTGTCTAAAATTAACAACAGAAAGAATGAAAAAAACATAAAATACAGATACTTATGTTTTAAGGTAGGTTTTGTTTGTTTATATGGCATGGATAACCTATATTTTATTCAGGGTTGTAAGTCTTTATTTATATTTCCTCTAAACATTGCTGAAATAAAAAGCAATTTCTCTACGGTAAGCCTCCTCTTTGTCTCATATCCTGTTCATACCCTCTCATACCCTGCAAATACCCTGTTTGTACCCTCTCATACCCTGCAAATACCCTCTCATACCCTGCTCATACCCTGCAAATACCCTGCTCATACCCTCTCATACCCTGCAGATACCCTGCTCAAACCCTCTCATACCCTGCTCATACCCTCTCATACCCTGCTCATACCCTGCAAATACCCTGCTCAAACCCTCTCGTACCCTGCAAATACCCTGTTCATACCCTCTGATACCCTGCAAATACCCTGCTCATACCCTCTCATATGTCTAAAATGCCAGATGTCTGCAGCCTCTTTCTCGGGCCCCACGGATCGCGAAAGTGTGGGCCTGGTGTTGACTGAAAGCTACTGAAAGGCTCTTTCAGTACAAAATGCAGATCAGTGCATTTTTCCTGGGGTGCAACATTAACTGATGCCCCACCACCAACAACAAAAAGTATGAAGTTATAAATGTATGTAATTTGTTTTTTACATTTTAATTATTAATATTTTGCTTGTAGATTTGTAGTATTTTTTTTTTAAACACCTGGCAACCCCCACACCCCCCATGAGAGCTCAAACCACCTGCACAAGTGTCAATCATTCCGGATTCACAAGTCTGCCTTTTTTTAATTAGGTGGAAAAAAAGACTCTTCTTTTGGCATATTTTAAAATGCGAAACTCCTACGCAAAATGTGTTAAGGTTGGCAAGTCTGAAACTGTCATTTAAATATCGCGCTCTACACCATATTTTATTTTCACCTTATTTTTTTTGTGACGGCAACCTTCGTCGATGAATAATGACGCAATAACACACCCACCCACACACACACACACACACACACACACACACACACACACACACACACACACACACACACACACACACACACACACACACACACACACACACACACACAGTGTTGCCAGATCCGTGGGTATCCTACATTTTTAGAATTGCAAGTTAATACACACTGTATGCTATGCAGTGTGGTTATGTGAACAGCTGAAATGGTGTATAAGTAAAATGAGGCAAACTGACTACAGTTCATGTAGATAACTACTTTTATAGTTATGGAGTATAACCTATATGTTATAATACGCTATACCTTTATGCTATACCTTTATGAACCTATATGCTATAGTATGAACTCAGTTAAGCACAGTGGCCTAATGTAAGAAGAACATTCTCTGAACCATCCCTATTTAAAAAAAATAAAAAATAAAAAATAAATAATAATAATAATAATAATAATAATAATAATAAAAATAAAGACCTGTTATTATACACCCACTAAACTGGCTGGTTGTCATAAGGTTCCTGGACAAAAGGAATGAGTTTCTGAATTACAGCTGATAATTCTACATCATAGGCAAATTATTTTTAAGAAAATAACACAACAAATCTCAAACAATTCTTAATTAGTTTAGTGAAGTAATGAGGAATGAGCAGGTAAAGAGGCTCTGCCAGTGTGAGCAGCTCGGCCTGCTATCACACCTGCTAGCTGGTCAGACTAAGCTGGATTTTTCAGTAGGAAATAATATATCTTTATGTATGTTTTAATATTGTTTTGTTAAATATGTATGTTATTATCTTTTAAAGAATGCAGTGTATTTGTTTCAAGTAAAGCAGGGCAGGTTTGAGGTTTGATAATTTTTTTTTTTTAAATCACACTGATCTGGCAACCCGGTTCATACCGGCGCAAGTAAACAATACAGGGATATTAAGCGGTAAGATGTGTGGTGAAATTATGGGTTTTCTTGTTTTTTAAATAGTTAAAGATTTGTATATATGTGTTGTCTAAAACCGTGTGTTAAGCCTATCGAATTAATCCTTAAATCGCTTCACTTGTGTTACCAGTTGGCGAAATATGGCAAGTTTTAGCAGCGCAGTTAGCGTTAGCTACCTATGTGGATGCCTAGTTCACCCGGCTAAATAGGTAGCTTGTTTGGCTCTGTGCTTTTATGTACAAACCATAAATTATGCGCAACTTTAAATACTGTCTGAGTGTCTGAATGCTGAGTGTGTAGGCTTTTTGTGTAGTACGGCCTACGGTGCAAAAACGTCTCACTAGCTAGCTAACTAGCTAAAACGTCTCACAAGCTATTAGCTTGGTAAAAAAAAAAAAAAAGATCACGCCTTTTTTTTTTTTTTAACGTATGCAACATTTTTTTTTTTGCAACAGTTAATGTTCGTCTTTGCATCTGGACTGAGTTTGATTTTTATGTGTTTACTTTACAGAAGGGTGGATTAAGCAGGACTTGCTGTTTCACATGCCGGTGGAAATGAAAGGGTCACTGCTTCCAATATATTTGTGCGATAGCTGGATGCTTGCCTTCTACACTCAGTTAAATGTTATTGATTTTATTATTTGTACATGCTTCTGATATTTTTCCCCTGAACACTTAATTTTTTAGGCAACAGAAAAGTCCGGACCCTGATTGCAATGTTCCTGTAATTGAAGAAGGTATAATTAACCTATAATTATCCTACGTTAATTATTTAAAAAAAAAAAAAAATTAGGGCTGGGTGGTGTGACAAATATCTTCTCACAATACTTAGTCTTTCACACAGGTACACAAAATGTATCATGATGTGTCGTTTCACTGACGTTTTGTTAACAGCATGCCGAGTTAGGAGTCATATTATGGAAATCTATATAAAAAAACAAAAGTTTTAAAACATACAGTTGGTATATATTTTGTGTTGGTGCGTAAAAGAAATTATCGGCCAAACAGTTACTTATTGCAGCAATTAGCTGTGGAGTTATGAAAGCACTGACACCTGATGAAACCCAAAATACTGGGTAAAAAATTTCAATGATGGTAATGTAATTGATGTGTATATATATATTTTTTCTTCCGCTGCTCCTGTTAGGGGTCGCTATGGCAAATCATTGGTCTGCCTATTTGGTTTGGCACAGTTTTTACGCCGGATGCTCTTCCTGACGCAACCCTCCCCAATTTTATCCAGGCTTGGGACCAGCACTGGGAGTGCACTGTCATGTGCAACCCCAGTGGCTGAGGTTGGTTCCCTGGCCGGGAATCGAACCCGAGCGCGGCAGTGAGAGCACCGAGGCGTAATCACTAGTCCTCCAGAGACCCATAGATGTTTATATCATTATTGTCAATTATACAACAGTTAGTTCCGGTCCACTGATTTGATTGGACGAATGATGTTCCAAGAGTGCTGATATTCCATATAACTGCACTAGTGCATTTCACTGTTGGTCTCACTCCTCTTGTCTGTGTTCACTATTTAAATTGGCAAATCTAGCAATAGATCATTACATTGAAACTAATAGTTTGTTACATTGTTACTACATTTACTGCCGGCTGTCAGGCTCTACGTTGCACGGCAGCACGCAACTCTCAATCCAGCTGCGGCTTTGTTGATGGAGCAAAAAAATACAAAAATACAATCATTTGTTTAACAGCAGCTCTGACAGTAGTTCCAGCTGTATTTCACAGGTTTATTTTGATGCAGTCCTAATATATTATTGATTTTATAGTAATAAGTCATTCACAGGGACTTGTATGGTGGAGGCATCACACAATTTAAGTCTAGTAATACAGTCATAGGAAAAAGAAAGTACACCCTCCTTCAATTCTAGCTTTTTAGCTATCAGGGCCTAAAGAACAATTGTGAGATCTTCACCAACTTCTATAAACAAACAAATAACCTCAGTTGACTACAAAAAAGTACAACAGATTTCATGTAGTCATTTTTTTTTTCCAAAAAGTAAACCAACATTCAGAAACCAGGTGGGAAAAATAAGTACATCCTATAAGTCAGTAGCATGTAGAACCACCTTTAGCAACAATAACTTTAAGTAAATGTTTTCTGTAGGAGTTTATCAGTCCCTCACATGGTTTTGGAGAAATTTTGGCCCACTCTTCTTTACAACATTGCTTCAGTTCATTGATGTTTGAGGGCATTTGTTTATGCACAGCTCTCTCAGTGGGGTTGAGGTTTGCACTTTGACTTGGCCATTCCAATACTTCCATTTTTTTCTTTTTAAGCCATTCACATGTTGATTTGCTGGTGTGCTTGGGATGATTGTTCTGTTGCATGACCCAATTTCAGCCTAGCTTAAGCTGTTGGACAGATGGCCTCACATTTGTCTCAAGAATATTCTGGTATAAAGTGGAGTTCATCGTTGTCTCAATGACTGCAAGTTGCCCCAGCCCCAGCCCAAATCATCACGCTTCCACCACCATGATTGACAGTTGGTATGGGGTGTTTGTGGCTATACACTGTGTTTGGTTTTCGCCAACCATAGCACTGTGCATGATGACCAAACATCACCACCTCGGTCTCATCAGTCCAAAAGATATTGTTCCAGAACTTTTATGGTTTGTTGAGATGCAATTTTGCAAACCTAAGTCATGCTCCATATTCTTTTTGGAGAGAAGGGACTTTTTCCTAGCCACGCTTCCCTGAAAGCCATACTTGTTTGGTCTTTTTCAGATTGTGCTGTCATAAGCATAAACATTTAATGTGCTCACAGAGGCCTGTAGGTCACATGATGTCGCTGTCCAGTTTTTATTTATGTCTCTGAGCATTAAACGGTCTGTCCTTGGAATTGAATTTGTGTTACGCCCACTCCTGGGAAGATTAGCAACTCTCTTGAAGGCTCTCCATTTGTAAACAGTCCTTCTCACTGTAGAATGGCAAATTTTAAATTGTTTGGAGATGGCCTAATAACCCTTCCCAGATTGATGTGCAGCACTAATTGCTTCTCTGAGGTCATGGCTGATGTCCTTTCTACTCCAGAACACCAAACTGCCAAAAGTTCGGCTTTTATAAAGGTGGTCACACATCTCGATGATTAACTAATCTTGTACATTTCTTTACTATACCTGGCTGCTAATTACTCTCTTAATGATTGTGGAACTAGGAAGGGTGTGCTTATTTTTTCCCAACTTGGTTTCTGAATGTTTGTTTACATTTTGGGAAAAAAATACTACATATTGAACCCCCCACCCGCCCCAGAGGTTATAGGCTTGATTATAGAAGTTGATGAGGACTACCCAAGTGTTACTTAGGCGCTGATAAATTAAAACATAGAATTGAAGGAAGAAGTACTTTCTTTTTCCCATGACTGTATATGAATAAAAACATTGCTGTGGTCTAAGAGGAAAAAACAACACTTTGGGATGTGCGGTTATTGAAAAATAATTAACTGTTCTGGATTATTTTCCCACAGTAGCATGCTCTATCATGTTTTATTCCTTACATATCTCAGCACTAACAGAAATCCTATTGGTATACCACTGAGTAAAACGCTGAATTTCTGTTGTTCCGTCAGGAGTAGTGGCTACTGCTGAGGATCCATCAGCAATTACAACTATTCAGTCAGCTGCCACGTTTTCCTCCGAGCAGCCCATAAAATACCTGTTCAAGACAGAGGGAGCTGGGGGGCAGGTAGGGGAACTGTACCCTCCCATCGGGCAGGTAGGACAGGAGTAGAAGTGATGAAGTTGTAAACTGTGAAGTAGTATTACACTGCTCTATGAGCATGTCTCAATTCAAGTGGTTGGAGTGGATATGTTTTGTATTAGCATGTCTAACAAGCAATAGAATCTTAAGTGATGTGTTGTACTAGACGTTAGTGATAGTCACTTTTTTGCAGGTGACATATCGGGTAATTCAGGTTGCAGATGGACAGTTGGAGGCTCAAACAGATGGCACCACAGCTGTCAGTGTTGTTGCTGGGTTTCCTGCTACAACACAGCCTGTTACACAGGTAAGTGTATGGTGATGTGTGTTACATTCTTCATAACTGATTATCATTCTGTCAAGGTAACTAATATCTTTGCTGATCCATGTAAATAGGCTGTGTTCTCTCAGTCTGAAGCCTTAGAGGGAGATGGCACAGAAACCCATTACACCTATTACCCTGCCACTATTTCGGATGCTGGAACAGGCACTATGGTCACTGGGGTGCAGGCCTCTGACACAATCCTCAGCCAGGGCACACCTACAGGTAATGTGAAAAGTTCTTTAGCATACACTAAGCTGGAATGGCATAATAGTACATTTTCATAATAGACCCTTTTCATGCTTCCAGGTTTTAGTGAATAGAAGTTGTCATATTATGGAAAACACACCACCAACACCACTGTTACTGTTGTGATTTGTATTGATCAGGTTTTTTAATCTCATTACCACTTTGATGTTGGGAGTCGTAAACAATTTCTCACTTTTTCCAGCATTTTTTACTTCAATTTCATGAGATTTTTTTCTTACAAATATGACAAAAACATTAAATATTCACTTTCCAAAAGGACCTTCCAAAAGAGTATTAGTTAAAGGTTTAATTTTATAAATAAGTAAATAAAATGTGACACTACCATGCTCACTTTAATTTGGTAGATGCAGTGATTGCTTTCACTGTGCATGTCGTGTAGGCTGGTCCTTTGTTTCAGTTATTCAGTACAGCGATTAGAGAGGGAATACCAATGTTGACTTACATTGCTGGAATGTACAGGTACACTGATCAGCCATAATATAAAAACCACCTGCCTAATATTGTGTAGGTGTCCCTTGTGCCACCAAAACAGCTCTGACTCGTCGAGGCATGGACTCCACAAGACCTCTGAAGGTGTGCTGTGGTATCTGGCACCTAGACATTAGCAGCAGATCCTTTAAGTCCTGTAAGTTGGATTGGACTTGTTTGTCCAGCACATCCCACAGATGCACAACTGGATTGAGATCTGGAGAATTTGGAAGCCAAGTCAACACCTTGAACTCTTTGTCATGTTCCTCAAACCATTCCTGAACAATTTTTTGCAGTGTGGCAGGGCGCATTATCCAGCTGAAAGAGGCCACTGCCATTAGGGAATCCCGCAGCCATGAAGCGGTGTACTAGGTCTGCAACAATATTTAGGTAGGTGGTATGTGTCAAAGTAACAGCCACATGAATGCCAGGACCCAAGGTTTCCTAGCAGAACACTGCCCAGAGCATCACACTGCCTCTGCTGGCTTGCCTTCTTCCCATAGTGCATCCTGGTGCAATCTCTTCCCCAGGTAACTGACGCACACGCACCCAGCCGTCCACATGATGTAAAAGAAAACGAGATTCATCAGACCAGGCCACCTTCTTCCATTGTTCCACTTTCATATAAATGCTGATCATGAAAATGATTTGTAGAATATGTATCCTCATTCAACTTGGAAGTGTGAACAGGGTCTATTGCAAAATAGTTGCAGTGAATAGCATAATAATAGATCCCTATTGCTGTATATAGTTAGTGCACGCACTATGTCACATTTTGCACCATCTTGTCATTTGTAGTTTGGACACAGTCTGTCTTGCATGTGTCACACTATTAGTGACTTATACAATTATGATAGAGGCCTTGTAATGTTTTATATGTTACATGTTCCTTGTGTATATTTTGTATATGGGATTGCTTATATGCAAATCTAACTGTACTTTTCCTTCATCTTTGGTAAAGGTCAGTTATATGTGATGATGTCACCCCAGGAGGTTCTGACAGGAGCAACCCAGAGATCTATTGCACCTCGCACACAAACTTGCAACACGTAATCTAATCCTCTCATTTAAAATGTTATAATAGACTGTAATAGCTGTTTCTATTTAGTATGAATTATTAGATTTGTGTGAAATGCCTAGAGTTTTGAGAAGGTATATTTTATTGTGGTATATTTTATACTGACAGTAAGTCAGAGGCACCAAGGACGTCTAGAGATGAGAAACGGCGAGCACAACACAACGAAGGTGAGCAGTGACCTCAGTTTTAAAGCAGTCTATTGCCTATTTGCTGTATTGAAGAATCAGACAAAAGGAATCTCTTCACAGCAGAGCAATACTTTTGTTTGCTGATTTATAGTTGAACGAAGGCGCAGAGATAAGATTAACAACTGGATTGTTCAGCTTTCCAAGACCATTCCAGACTGCACGTTGGACTCCACCAAGACAGGACAGGTTGGTTTATCTGGTAGTTCACTACAGGTCACAGGCAATTTTCTCTTTTCTCTCTTTATTTTTTCATTTTCTCTCTTGTTGTTTGCTACAGAGTAAAGGAGGGATCCTCTCAAAGGCCTGTGATTACATTCAGGAGCTTCGACAAAG